CCTAGCAACCGGCCGGCGGCCTGGTTCGGCCCTGCCCTCCCCCGCCCTGTGCCTGAGGGAAGAGTCCCTGGAATCAGCCCCAAGGCCTCTTGTCCCACAGAACTAGTCACACCCCAGCCCCTTGTTTGAATAATCAGCAGGTAAACAGTGCTCAGAAACTTCAACTGTAACTTTTGGCTTGTTGTTTTTTTTTTTTAATTTTTCTTGAAATAAAGAAATAGAAAGTAAGAGTGACAGATGGGAGAGAAGGAGCCAATGCCCAGATTGCCCGATCCCATGTCACGCTCCCTAGCAAAGCCAGGCCACGGCCATTAAAGAACAGCACAGGACCCCCAGCACCATCCTCATCTCCTGCAGGCCCCTTCCCACCAGGCAGTGTACTACACCCTCCCTGCAACCTGCTTCATCCTCGCCCCATCACAGCCCTCACCAGCAAGCAAAAACCTGGCTGTGCCCCAGCCTCCACATCGCTGCCAATCTCCCTGACCAGGTTTGGGAACCTGAAAAAGAAAATACTGCTTTTCTGCTTGGCCAGTTGTGACCATTAATGTTTGAAAGCTGAACTTCAACAGGGCTGCATGGGGGCTGTGCTGCCGTGCTTCAACTTACAGCTCCAGCTTGCCTGCCTTGGTAAACATGAATCAGATTTAGGAACAAAGAGAGACATGTTACAAAGCACATTTATCTGGTATCAGTTCAGGCAAGGAAAGAGGTTGTTTTTTCAGGAGAGGAAGGGAAGCAAACAGCTTCTACGCTGACAGGGTAATTACACCTGGGCTCCTGAGAGCAGGTGGTTGCAGGGAAGCAATTTCTGCCTTCCCCCAGCCCACCACACTGGTGGGTTGATGAGGTTCCCAGACAGGCTGTGACTACAGGATCTGGTGAGCCTGGGAAGAAGAGGAGGTGTTGACAGCTTCTACATCCAAGGGCATCGGAAGACATCGCAGAGGAAGCAAGAAGAGTGGGAAGAAGCTGCTCTGGGGAAGAGGGTTGTTTATTTTGGAATCATATGGTTTATCTGGATTTCTGCCACCAGCTCTCCATGAAGCATCTGAGATGCCTGAGAAGGAATCTTAGGGGGTTTGTTAAATTTGACCTTTGGCATGCACATTTTGCTGAGGAGATAGTACCCCAAGGAAGCACAGCTCAATTTAACTGAAGAACCGAAAGCTAGCAACCCACAAAGTCTCCACAAATCCCTGTGGACCAAAAGGGAGGCATTGGAATTGAAAGAAGACTGTAAAACAGATAGCTTTAAGTTTAGTCTGGAGACCTAGTCTTTTTGAGGACCTTGGACTAGAATTGTTCATAGACGTTGGGCAAGCTGAGACCAATCCTCCTAAAGATGTCAGTAGGAAATTCAGCTGACCACACAGTATCAATGAGAGACAAAGCAGCATACCAAATGGATCAAGAGAAGATTCACAGATCTCCAACATGTGCCAAAAGCCATCCTAACACCAAAAGGGTGGCAGAGAATCTTACTGTTTTGAGCACCTCACCAGCATCACAAGCAGGAGTAGACATCAACACACACTGCCTTTTCCTCCAAGGTTTTGCCTCCTCCCAGAGGAAGGGACTCTGACCTTTCCAGCCACTAGTTTGACTTAATACAGCAGAACTTATTTACAGAAATAGCCTGGAAAGCAGCAAGACAGCACCATGGTACATATTGCTGGCCAAATATTCAAGGCCCAGCAGCAGGAATGTAAAGCTCCCTACCTGTTTCTTTTTGCATGCCACAAACAGCAGGATACTATCTCCAGCCTCAAATAACCTTATGAACTCAGTAGCTTAAGCGCACACATGTATATATGCAGTTTCCAACCCCTATCAGCTGAGCTACCAAATGCTGCTGTAAAATATAGATGCAGCTTGACAACAGAAAGCACCCACTGTCTGTCTCAGTCAAAGACATGCCTAGTTCAGGCCTGAGGATACTGGCATCAGGACATCAGTAACATGGAAGGACATACAGACTGCATTACCTTAGAACAAGATTTTTGTTGCTATGATAAATATTATCAGGTTTTCGTGCTTCACTGGGTTTCTCAGTTTTAAGACTTTTTATAAAGGTAACGGGAAACCAAACATTTTGTAATTGTGTGGAATTCTAAACCAAGTGGGACTTTTCCAAAGATCTCCATGGTGTAGGATTTGGGAAGTTTACATTAAAATCAGTTCCTCAGGCAGAAATAAACATTCATATAGTACCCCTTACCCTAACATCAAGAACAGCAACCAAACCAAGTCCATGGAAAGAGCCTGAGACATAGAAACAATGGCATTTGCTTGGGAGACAGCCTTCCACTCTCAACATGCTCTTGAACTAATCCCCTCTCCTCCTTTAAACAGCTGCTGGTTTGTTTGCCTTTTAAATTACTACCACCCTTTAAAAGCCATGTTTTGCCCTTTGAGCTGCTAGTCAATGTGGAATTTGGAATTTTGTCCAGCAGTCCCACACATTTTGGATTATTATCAACCATCAAAATTACTCCCAGCCCATCAGGTAAATATATCAAATGTATAGTTCAAATCACTGTGAAGACAGCATGCTTTTGAAGATCAGCAGGAAACTCGTGAAACACAAGCTACTGTCATGCTGTACATCTTTGCTCCTAGATGATTTGAAGTAATTGTATTTTGATGCTGCACAGGCCTGAAACATTTGGTTGGCAGGTTCTGCAAGATGCCTTAAAAAAATGTAGATTTAAAATAGCCTATAGCTGCCATAGAGTTCTGTAGAAGTCCATGCTGCCTGCATCTCTGGATATGCTTTATTCTGTGAAGGATCTCTCTCCTATCCTATTGCCACCAACTCCAGAACTGATATCAGCTTTGCCACGCAGCATCTCCACATGAGAAGTGTGGTCGCCAAAGTTACAAAACTTCAAGGAGTGTGTATTGCACTCCCTGAGAGCAGCTTATATTCTTTTACAAGAAGGCCTATTTACATATATTTACTACTTACGGTTAATGTAGTCTCTGGCTTCCAAAATTATTCAGAAAATTGGTATCCAGCCTAAAGTCTTGAGCTAGGTTCTCCTGACAATGGCAAGAGTTTGCTTGCCAGACCTCCCCTTACCATGGGGCCTCATCTATACACCCACATACAACCTAATTGGGAACAGTCATGCTCCACGAGCAGCCCAGGTTTATCTGACAAATAAACTCAGATGAGTTTCAAATGAATCCACACTCTGTGCTACACTGGCAATTTTTTAACCTTGACACGGAAAACTAAGGGTTGTGACTGTGCCCTCTCTTCCCTGCTGCTTTAATAGCACAACTCCACTGCAGTGGAAAACTAACCATTTTCACTTAGCATGGACATACCAGAGACACTTGCATGTGGCATCATCTTGTGAATGTTTCAGAAAGCAGGCTCCAAGGATGGGAATTCACAGTGAGCAGAGCTGCCACCCGGGACCACTTACACAGTTCCCTTGTCCTAAAAGGTAATTACACGAACCCAACACCTGCAATATGGAAACCAGTGAGATTTTCCATGTGTTCTGTCGTATTAATTAGCTGTCCTCCCACCAGTAAGCCATGAAGAAATTGGTGACTATAGGTCTGGGGCTAATGACTTCTCATTTTCATTTACTATTTAATTCTAATTGCAAGGAAAGTCAATGATGGGGAACCTACACAGTTTGGAAAGGGGAATGAAGCTGGCATTTGACACCAAGGGTGTTCCCCATTGCTGGCTCTGCATTGCTAAGCCAGCGCTTGCAATAACAAAAAACATTTTATTCCATGAAACTTTGGACTTGCAAATTGCAAAATCCAGGTTCAGACACCAGTTGCTTAAACCAACTTCTCTCCTTTCCCCTGTGTGCTAGATAGAGATCTCCAGCATACATTCCCTCTTCTCCAAGGCAGCTGGGCTCAATCTCACCAGTGCAACACACTGACAGATGCTAGTGACTGCTTGGCTCTAATCTGGTACTGTAACGAAGCAGGCAGATATTTTGAAGTGCTCAGCATCTCTTGTGAAAGTGTGGAAGTGACTTCACACTTCAAAACACACTTCACTTCAAAATCTGAACCACGTCCAACAGGATAAAGTCTATGGCAGAGGGAACTCCTTTGTACCAGCCTACCTGGTGACAACTAACACAGAGTCATAGGCACCTTCTACACCTTTTTGTTTTTTTGAATACAGGATTAATCTCAGCAAACCTTTTTTTCTGCCAGCTGAGGATCTGGCCTCTTACATACCTCTTTTGGGGCTTGGCACGGCCCCTGGTATTTTTTTCATTTCCTGGCTGCTTGCCATGAGATGTATTTGTAGGACTTCCAGCTCTGCAGAGGTTCTGTCGCCCTGTCTCTGACATCAGCAACAACCCAGCTTGCGAGATGTGTCCCAGAGCTACGGACACAGCTTGCTGGCTGATCCTGCCTGGATCAGGGTGAAGCAGGCTTGCTGTGGCCTTTCCATCCTCAAGATGACAAAAAAATGCTGTGTCTCAGGAGTGCTGTGTTGTGGAAAGCAAGTGAGAAATTAGGTGAATTACCTTTGTGAGTTATTTTTACAGCTATGAAAGCAATCAATTGATAAAACACACTTTAAATACATTTTGTGCGCATATAATGACTAGACAAACAGAGCTGTGTGGTTTCCTCGATAGGTATTTTCTGCTGGTTTCGGTCATTTCAGTACAGATTCTATACAAAATGTTTTAAAATACTTTGGTTTTCTTATCTTTACCTGCTTAAGGTATGTAATGGAGGGAACTTTCAGGACCCTAGCATAAATTTGGTTTGGCCAGTTGTTTGGTGTATTGGATAAGACCTAACCCACAATAAGCAGCCTGGAATCTGCAACATGTTTACTTCAAGGAGTGTTAATGGAAAGGCTTGTTTGATTTAATTCTGTTAAATCATATAAAAATAATTTTTGCAATTAATGGGTGTATGGTGCACAATCAGATTTCTTTTATCAGGAGAAACAGTTCCCTCTGGGTCTATTGAAGCCATGTAATATATCATGCCCGCAGTTACGGTGTGGATCTATTCGATCTGCCCTGCCATAACTGAAATTGAAAGCAGTAACTTTCATGAGAGCTGGGTCTCTACAAAGTGTCACTTCATTCTCTGGATCCACCCCCCTTTTTTTCTTTAAATTTTGTCTGTGTGCTAGTTTCCTTTTGCCAACCTCTGCTAAAGCTGTACATGCTGGCTTTTATTTCTCTTGTAATCGGAAAAGCTTGTCATTCAGAGCGCAGCAGCATACTTGCATTTTTATAGTCTAGTTTTGCAAATAAGAGGAGCTTTTGAATTTTACTGAAATGACCATCCATCTTCCTCTGCACAACTCAACCTCCCCATGCAATTTATATCCAGATTTCATGCAGTACCATTCTCGCTCAAGAAACATGTGATGCTTGCACATTTCAGCAACTCTCTATCCACTATAATCCTCAGCCTCAAGCTAGCAATGTGCTGTAAATCACTGGCAGTGCTCCTGAACTTGCTTTTTGACACTCCAGGTCCAGATACTGCCTCTTCACCCTGCGAGTGAATCAGAGATAGATGAAAACCACTGGTGATGTATGACAACATATATATATGACCCTCCACACCTGTGACCCGGTTCACTAGCTCACTGAAAAGGTATGAGGAGGTGAGAATAGAGGGCAAGTCAAAGGAAAGAAGGGGTCTGTCCTTTCCCATGAGCTGTGCTGGCTCCAGCCCCTCCTTTTGCACTGAGATGAAGATGCCTCCCTTCTGCATGCGCAGCCATTGCCTGCCCTGAGGTCTAGCTGGGAAACAGCCCAGGGCTGTTGTCCCTTGTCATTCAGGCAACAGAAGCAAGCACTGAAGGTGGAAGTCCAAGTCCTGCTGGACCTTAAATACAGACAAATGCTTTTTCTTCAAAAAGTGCCAAGGAAAGGCATTCACACAAAACAGCGTTAGAACAAGCATTCCTCTGGTCGAGTAACCAAGCATTGGAAACACAGGGGACACTATTTCCAGCTCTTCTAAAACCCTACTGTGACCTCCATGGGCCCATATGATACACTAAAGCCCACCCTATGGGACACCAGAGGGAGGTCCTCACAAGGAGCCCTTCTCTTACTCAGCACAACAGAGCAGATTGAAACAAAGACCACAGTATAACTGTGTACAGAAGCAGAGCTAGGATTTCCTAACAGGCCAGTGGTTGGTTCCACAATGGAAATTATGGTCTTTTTCACTTGATACAGAACAGCTTTCCATGGAAAGTTGGTGTTTAATTTCCTTAAAATTTACGTTGGGGAAGACCATCTCCTTAGGCTGTGATACAAGTCCTGTTTATCCTGTAGAGTTATGCCTCTTATCCTTGCATAGCCCTCTCATTATGCTGCTGTTCCCTGTTACTGTGAAATGGTTCAGTTCATACCACATTGTTTACATTGTGATTTCTTATTTTCTTTAATTTTTTTTTATTACAGAAATATGCTAAACCTCTTCTAAGTGCCATGAATTCTGCACCACTGTTGGTATGAAGGGTGTCAAGAGAGGTGTATGCATCTCCTCTGTATCTCTCAGTTTGACTCTGGGAGACTTCACTGTACCTGGAGACCCACAGTCCATCCCCAAGCATTCTGCATGAATGCTTTCTAAGTCAATATACCTCAATAATTAAAAACATGCATGTTGCTGGGCTGATTGAAGAAAGCTTTTGTTAAAAGGTTGTTCTGCACCTTGGTGGGAGCAGGATATCCTGGAATTTCAGCTAATGTCCATACCAGCTATTGTGCAAATACAGAGATATAAAGAGACCTTGCCTTACCTGGGCCAGAGGGGAGAGGCTGCAGCAAGAACACCCCTGTCAAGGCGTCAGTAGGAGCTGCTAGGTGAGAGACCAGTTCCAAAAAAATGGCTCCTTATGAGACTGACTTTTCTCTGAGGAGAACTGGGCATTTCTTTTCTGCCAGTGTACCTGCTCTTTGTGGCTGGGCTTTTGCTAGATGTGGTTGCTGGTTATTACACCACTGAACTGTACCCAAGTGAGGAGGACTGCTTGGCCATAACAACTAACATGCATAGAGATCTCACGTGATGAAAGCGGCTGCTGATGGGACAGAGGGTACCTGCTGCCCCATGGCTATTTCAGCCTGCATTTTCCAAGTTGCCCATCAGTACATTCAGGCCTTCAGATAGAGATTACCTGATCTGCATTGCTTCTCTGCTACCTTATCTCCCATCAAACCTAACTGGAGCCTAATCCATGCTTGGCTGAAAATATGGACCACTTCATAGTGGATTGAGCAGCTTATCTCTGTATCTTAATGAACAGTAGGAAACACATGAACAAATGTTGGAATTCAACTGCAAGGCAAGCTGCAGAGATAAGTGCAGACAGATACAGCTGTTTTTTCTTGATGAGATCAACCAGCAAGACAAACTCTCAGAGTCACTCCAGAGACTCTCCAAGCTTCTGCTCAAGTGTCAACGTTGAAGTCAGCCCATTTTTAACAGGGAGATGAATGTTTCATGGTCCTCTCTTTTCTTTGCCTGAAGCTTTTGGGTATTTGTCAAGTTCTGCCTGCCTGAGTTGATCCTTTCTCTCTCAGTCGTTGCCAGCCAGAAGCATGCACACCTTTCCATTACTGTGTTCCCTCCTTCTCTGCAATGGTGTAACGGTGTTTGTGCAGAAAAAGATCCAGAAGCTCCCTGATGAAGAGAAAGAAAGCCCTGCTCAGATACAGACCCTACAGACTCTCTCTCGAGGAGAGTGAATGGGATGCTTAAGGCAGTCCTGAAGCACCTGTATTTCCCTCTGTCACAGTGACTAGTGTGCACCTCCACACATATATACAGGCAGGGAAATGTCTGAGAGCAGCGGCTGGGAGATTTCCCCCCCTGCGTTTCCATTCAGAAGCAGAAGCCCAAACCTACCTTTCACAGGTGCCACTTCCACCGTGGCCAAGAGCACTGGTGCATTCAAGCAGGGGAGAAGTCCTCATGCTCTGTGCTTGGGAACAGGTACAGATGCTTTGCTCCAAACCTGGGCTGCAGATGGAGCCAAGACCCAGGCTGTTACACTAGCTGCTGATCAGCTGCTGGATCAGCTTTGCAGAGGCTGAGCTCAACAGGCAGCCCCACCAGCAGCCCCTACCCCTACAAAAGCATGCTCTGTGCGCAGGAGGCCGTAGTCACGCAGCCAAGCTGCAGCAAGCTCAACCCCTCTGCTGTCCCCTTTCCTGCCAGCATCAGTCAGGCACGGGCAGCAGGTACATCCTCTTCCTCCCTGGGGTCTCCTTTGGGTGATGCGGGACATGAGCAAGGTGCTGTAGCCATTGGAAGGGGCTCCAGACTCAGGTCCAAGTTTTGCTCCATCAAGATCCAGGCACTTCACACCAAAAACACTCTTGCATCCCTACCCTCCCTAGCCACCCGCCTGTCAAGTAGTCCCTTATTGCAGGAAGCCATATGCAAGCAGCAAGCCTGGTTCGGCTCTTTGGGGGGATGGACAAGTTCCAGGAAGAAATCTGGGCTCCAGCTTTCGAGTGGCTGGAAATACCTATCTGTAATCCTAATCCACCACCTAAGCCCTAGCAAGGCTGGGGTTTCACCCCCCTTCCCTATCAGCTGTTTCTTTGCACCTTCCTGCTTGGAGCTCTCCTGGTATCCACAAATACCTTGAAGGTCTGGACACCCTGAAGGAAGGTGCCTAGTTTGTGCCACCCGATTACATGCGTGGCTCCAGCTCCCTATTCAGCAGAACATCCTCATCCATACTGACGGGAAAGAAAATTAACTAACGGTGCTCTCAACAGGCTGGGGAGATGACATTGAATGGATGCAGACATACGAAGAAGGTTTAGCACAATCGAAACACAGGTAATCCTCAATTCTTGCCAGTTCGTATGTTTAACTGCACAGAACAGAGCTATGCTTTAACATGATGCTCAGACTGTGCATTGTATCTTGCAAGCAAGATACAAGTTGTATTTTGCTTCACGGTACGGAGGCTGAACAAGATTTTGGTGAGAGCTCACCTTTTGGGAGATGAGCAAATGCCCTTGCAGTACCTCCAGTGTTGCCTTTTCAGGGATACGCCCCTCTGTACGTGACTGTGTCCACACCTCCCTTCTAGCCTGGTTGCTATTGCTCCTCGCAATGTAAATATATCCTTGGAGCAACTCAGTGGCTTAACTCTTTGCAAGTGCTGTCTGTAAGAGGTCTTGAATTGCCTCCCCACTCCTTTCCTGCAATGTCATTTCAGCAAGAAGCCACTGATGGTTATTCACCACTTGGAAGAGTGCCCTTACAGCCAAGGTGAGCAAAGCAAACCCTTCCAAACAACCTGGGTGATCCAAATCGGTCAGTGCCCATTCCTTACAAAGCATTTGAGCACTTGGTGTGAAGCCTTTCCAGCACATGCAGGGAAAGGTGGAGAGACAGTAAATCTACTGGGGACCCTTGAGAAGAGTTGGGGTATAAAACAATTGTAAAGTTTTTCTGGGCAGTAATGTGCTCTGGGTCAAAACTTCCATGGCAGAGACACATGGCTACAAAACAGGCAGGTAGACACCAAGCTTTCCTCCTTTATCCTCTTTCCCACCCCCGATCTCCTGCCAATTCTCCTTCCTGCCAACTCCCAACTCCAGTCCTGGGCCCCAGCAAGCATGGAAATCATCAGCTCATGTGATTAAAGCTTGGGGAAGTTGTATCCCCCCAGAAGGAAGCCCTGAAAGTAGTCTGTGTCAAGCCAGCGAGGTTAGGCATCGCACAGCCTCCATTGCATTGTTTTATACCATGGCTTTGAAGTTACGGGTATCCTGCAAGCACGGAGAGTCAGACACCGAGAAAGTTATCTTTATAGCCTCGTATTCACTGATTCACAGGGACTGCAACATGCCTTTGGCGGCGTACTTTCATCTGCAGACAAGAACCTTAGAAGTGCAATAGTTTACAGCACTGGAAAGGTCAAATCATCTTCTGGCCTGCGAGAGCATCTGCTACCATCTGTTTTATACACTTTCTTCTTACTCTTATGAGGCCTCCTGCCAAAGAGCGTGTCAGACCACTCACTGTCACTTGATAACCTCCTTGGTTATCGAGAACAAAGTGAGGTTTGTCAGGGAAGTCTGGCCTCACCATTCCTTATGAAACTTCTGTATTTGTTACCCCAAATGCATACAGCGGAAATTGTGCAGATGACTCCTACGCTCTGTAGTGCAGGGCCACACACAGCCGAATAAAGCCAAGACACATGCATTCATGACCTGTTCAGCCACTGGGAAGGAAATATGTACACCAGCAGTGTACATTTCAGTTTCTCAAGGACTAAATGTCTTTGGCATTTTACTTTAAGAGAACCAAGTCCTCCAAACTTTGTATGACGTGCACAGCAGAAAGTAGTGCTGGTCATTTACTGGTGTATTTAGAATCAATATAAGATGATGCAAAACCATGAAAAGCAGTGATCAAGATTTTTTTTTCTACCCAAATAATGCATTTCTCTTTATTTTAGCTTTAAGGAAAGCATTTGCTGCTAGCCCAGAGATCCAGCAGATGGCTCAGGAGGACTTTATCATGCTCAATCTGGTGGTAAGTCTGAATTTTAAAGTCTTAATCAAAATGTTTACTGGGGAGTGGAATAAGCCATAGTAAAAGCAGAAATAGATTCACTTTGCACAGCTTTGAAGTTGTATTTGAAATTCTTTTTTTTCTCCCACTTCTCTGGGGATGTACAACAGGATTTGCAAAACACCAACACAGTTCCTCCGTGGAGAGGGGGGGCAGGGAGACACTTCTATACATATACTTATTCATACAGGAATACCATTTTGTATTCTCCAATAACAGGTCACATTCTGGTACAAGGAAAAAAAGGAAAAAATACCCCGTCATCAGGCTTTCCGAGTTACCTGCTTGGGGCTTCTGTCCTCATCCCCAAGCATCTAGCACAGGACAACTTGGACAGAACAGGGAAACTCCGTATTTGATCACACCAGAATTGTTAGTTGTTGGCAGACGAGGCAAGCTCAGCTGATTCAGTTCATTTCTAGCACTCAGACAGTTGCCTGTCACTAAGAGGCTATCTAACTCTGACAGCATTCCAGCAGCGATGACAACATGGCGCCTGATGGCCATTGTGTCCCTCGGATCCTTTTTGTGGGTAAGTCTCTGGGGTCAGGGGAATAATCAGGGCAGTGTGTTTTCTGTACGGTCCCCATTGAATTCACGTTGCTCCAAGTAATAGCTCTTATTCTTTTGGTCACTAAAGCTGTAGGAATAACCCAGACTTTCAAAAGGAACAGCTTAAGCGGAAAAACCCAAGTTGGGCCTTATTTCAGAGTACTTGTTTAGCAATCGGAGCTTAAATCAGGCACCCAAAACCACTACCATCTTTTAAAAACAGGACTGTGACAGCCTTATTCCACTAGTGGAAATGAACAGCATGTCACTGCTATTAACTGCTAACATACATCCCTTAAGAGTTTGGTCCTGCCTACGTGACACCATGCCACACCACCTGAATACAGCCTCTTACTGTCGTCAGATGAGTGACAAACACACTCTCTGAGGGCAGAGCAAAGGACCATCACCGACTGTGACCAACAACTTACAAAAGGCAAACTTACCATCAAAGTGCTGGGTACAAAGGGGACAATGGGCAATAATCTTGAGTCACCAGACGAGGCTTGTACGTAGAGGATCTACTCGTGATGGGTTTCAGAAGTAGACTTCCTTCATTAACTTACAGCTGCTGAGAGCCTGGTCCTTCAAGATGTGCCTTTCTGGCTATGAAAAGGCCAGTCAACACCATTTTAAAAGGCTTTTATCCCCACAAAATTATTCACCACTTCACAAAGCCGGAGTTGCTAATGTCTTGTACTTTTTTTTCGCTCAAGATCCTTCAATGACAGTTTGAGCTGATCTAACTGGCAAATATGGGAACAGAATGTACACTTACGAACCAGAAGATATTTCGACCTGTGAGTGAAATGGGCACTTTTCTGATCCCTTTTTAGCCATCTCAAGTTTATACAAGACAAATATGGTTAAAGGAAGAGGGTATAAGAGAATCTTGAGAAATGCTGGATCTATTTCTGCAGTAAAATCTGCTCAAAGCCCTTTATAAACATGAATG